CATAGTGATGTTGAAGCGCTCTTGTAGTCCTGATATTTTCTTGCCCTGCACACTTAGGCCAACCAGTCGTTGATCATAAACTTCATGGAAGGTTCCAACCATGCTCTGCAATACAACACAAGTTCATCAAGTTGGCTTGTAGAAAGTTTTTCTTTACTTGCTTTGCTGTCTACCATTTCTCCCCTCTTTTCTCTATCAGTCTGTCTGTGTTTGTGGACATATTCTGTTTTTTGTGCAACATTAATTGTAAATAAACTTCATTGTACTAAACCTGCAAGTTGTGTCTATGTAGTTTGATAAGTTGTCTTTTAGTAGATTTATTAGCTTGCTAAAGTTAAATAAAAAAAATTGCAACAAAAATGCTGATCCAATATTCAGAATTTTTTAATAAATTGACTTTTATTCATTCAATTTGATGTGGTTTGTTCTCATGTGGTTAAAAGAAAGTAAAGGTGCTATATGGTGGAGTTTTTTCCCCCCTAATCAGTGTATTTGGATGTATAGGAGAACTGCAAACATGAGCTATAAACTAAACCACATTAAAAGATAATTCCAGTTTTAAAACTAATCATGTTCAAAAACCAAGTAAGGCAATACCAAAAACGCTAATGTAAGTTAATATTAACATTATATTTTTGCTAAAAAATCTTACTGGCCAAACCAAAGTAAGTGGGAGTTTAAATTTACATAGTAAGTATACATGGGTAGGACTATTTGCTCATGTCTTTTTTATAATACATAACAAAGTATAGTCTCTCACGCTGGCTGTTTCAGCAAACTTAAGCATGGAAAAGATAATCTTGTTCCCCCCTCTTCCAACTTCTCTTGGTAGTCGAACGTGTACTCTCCTGTTGGTGACTGGCGTCAATTCTGCCTATATTATTGAAAGATAGAGAAGCATTGCATGTGAATACTTCAGCTGAGAGTGATGAGATCGATTTTTTAGGTTGTGTTTGCATGACAAACAGTGACCTGACAGTCATGCTAGAGGAAAAGGTGGATTATCCGAACATTTATTAAATTATTATTATTTTATAATTATTATTTATTAAAAATTATTAAATTCATTCTAACAAAATTTCATGGCAATGTATCTGTGATATGATGATGTGAAGATTTTTGCTAAAAATTATTCTGCACAACAAAGGCATTAGAGCTGCACAAGAACAATGTTAATTGGGCTTAATACAAAATCATGGATCAACATATGTATTATGTCAAAATCATTATATTTTATTATGTGTATTTTGTATTATTTTTTCTTTCATACCTCACTGTCACTGGCGAAAATTTCAAGGTTGTCAGAGGTACGATTGGGTTTGAACAGGAGAACAACTAAATCAGGGAAATGCATTGATATGGCCCCTTCCACTTTTGTTTGCTCAAGAATATTTTCTAGGATTTCCAATGTTCTTGTAGGGAGAGGGGGAGATAAAGAAGAAAATATTAACATGAATCCTTTGTATTTGCATCTTTTGAGTATTTACGCATCACAGAATACGTATCTTGAACGTGATTTTAATCTTAATTCTCAGCAAATTCTTTACGTTTGGCTCTGATATACATGCTTGATCAAAGACTAAGAAATCAGTCATAAACAAACAGAAACAGAAATATTCAGACAAGCATAAATATGACCAAAAAATGCAAACATTTACTTAATGGGGTCTTCTTTGGTGCCATTTTGCACAGGGTTCCACACATTCTGAAAACAGCAGCTAGCTGTTAAAGGAATAAAGAAAACATATCATACTAAGCTTAAAAGGTCAATTAAAGGTACCACATATTCAATGGTATTAAAGATTCAGTTCACAAAAAAAATTGTTTATTCTACCATCATTTTATGCCACAGATTATATAAAAAAGTGATTTGCAAAAAATATCAGAGAGAAGATATTGAAAGCTTTTAATTTACGGAAACAATTTAGGATCATACACAATTTTCTACATGTGTCATCACTACATGTTCTAGATTTTCAAAAGGTTCAAATCACCACTTAGTGAACAATCAGTTCTTCAGAAAAATGACATCATGATTCTATGATTCCCACGATCCCTTGGGCCTCTGTATGAGTTTAGTAGTAGGGTCTAACGTTTTTTGTCTTTGGATTTCTCTGATCAATTAAACATTTAAAATTATAATATGTAACTTTATTACTTTATTTTCTTACCCATTAATACCTGTCACGGCCAGGGGAATCAGCGTCCAGCTGATCAGAGGTTTTTTCTATCTTTCTTTCCAAACGTCCACTCTCTCTCTCTCACCTCTTCTCTATCGCCGGGGCGGAACTCTTTGTAGGTTCACGCCCTCGGCCCACGCTCTCGGTGAGAGGAAACACCTGAGCCTAATCAGGGTGGCATGCATTTAAGCCAGGAGGTGACTGCTGTTCTTCGCTGGATTGTTGTCTGCCACGCGTTAATGAAAGTGAAGTCTACAGCTAGGCTAAGTCAAGTGTTTGAAAGTGAACTGTGTAACTCAGGGGTCCCCAATCCCAATCCACGAGGGCCGGTGTCCCTGCAGGTTTTAGATGAGTCCTTGATCCATCACAGCTGATTTAAATGGATAAATTACCTTCTCAACATGTCTTGAAGTTCTCCAGAGGCCTGGTAATGAACTAATCATGTGATTCAGGTGTGCCTACTCAGGGTGAGATCTAAAACCTGGACCCCTGGACACCACGTGACTAACCCCTTGGATTTCCCTTGAGCCCCGTCCCTGACTTAATTGTATATAGCACTGCCTTGCACTGCCTGTAAAGACACAAGGTGGATTCTGTAAATAAATTATTCTGTACAGCGGATTTTGGAGTCCCGCGCTTGAGTCCTCCCTGTTGAACAATAACACAATAACGATCCAGCCAGCACGGACTCAGCGGACTCAACACCCCCCGCAGCCCGTCCTCACCCCGGAAGCAATCTTGGAACGCCACGAACAAATGCTGAAGCACATTAACATTAAAATCTTCCCGAACCTTCCTGAAATACCTTTGTGGCAGCCTGAGTATTTGAAACGTTAAAAACGGTTTTCAGAATTATTGGTGAAGCTGTTTTAATGTGGTTGTGCCCCCACACATCACCTTGCTTTTGTTGTTGTGACAATAATTTGACATCATAGTGCAGTAAATGTTATTATAAATGTTTTGGTAGAGACCAGGCTACATATAAAGTACATATGTTATGAACTTTTTATTTTATTGTCTATTAGTTATCCTGCTTACCAAAAACTGATTACCAAAGGTTCATTACAAGTAATGCCTTACAAAAGTAATGCAGGGCAGTAATAGAAGCCGGCAGTGACACAGAACTGCTGTGTTTTAGAGTGATACACCCCAATGTGCACCTGGACGAACATCACCTTCCATCAGTATGTAACACCTTCAGTTGAGCCATAAGACTGCGGTGAGAGTACTGACAGGGACTAGAAAGAAAGACCATATTTCTCCCATATATCCTTCTGTTTATTGGCTCCTTGTTTAATACAATCCCTCTTCTCACATACAAGGAATAACTAAGCAACACATTAAGTTGAAGATCTCACTTTACTCTTAAACAGTTTGGTTACCTCTGCTTTCTAAAGTTTATTAGATTAAAGACAGAAAAACACATCAAATCCCCAAACTACTGAATAACAACTTGAAGAACCCAAAAAAGACCTCAAAATGTTGATCTGAAACCAAAATCCTAAGACCTCGATCTGATTGAGAATCCACATGCACTGGAGCAAGAACTATCAACAGCTGCACCGCAGATGCCTCTACTACATCCCAGTATCATACACCACAGAACACCCACAGGAATATTGTCATTGTCAAACTGTGGCAATACAGCTTTATGGAAATCCTGATGGTGTGTCTCTATTTGCCATACACCGTTACTGGATTCAAGGTATTTATAGCAACCTGTATTATGATAAAAAGGTATGGCAATTTTTATAACTTCTTAATATAACTGTCAAGAAAATGTTAAAGAAAAACATGTGCGCACTTACTCATGTTTTCACCACACTTTTTAGCACAGGCTGCACAGGTGCCAATTTCTGAAACACAATTCTGAGAGAGCATGTCCAGAGAAACAAAAAGCACCAACCACCAGACTGCTGACCACTTCATCCTGTGAAGTTTAGAACAAAAACCAGCACTATTATTTCTCATCTTTAACAAAAAAAAAAACTACATAATAAAATGATTAAGATCACAATCCTACCTCTGCATGTTGCTGAGAAAGAAAACAATCTGAAAAGAGATGAGTTGATGTAACTGCAGGAAAAAAGCAAATAAATATTCTTCCTGGCTTTGAATAGGATCATGGAATGAGAAAACCGCATGTAAATAACATTCTGACACAGAAAGAGGAAGCATAACCTGATAGAAAGCTAAATCTACTCCCACTCCTCTTTTGCCACTAACTCCGTATCACATACAGACTAATATGATTAAAATATTAAATGAAATTTGAATCTATTCAGTTAGTTATGCAGAAACTGTATAGATTTTATATAGCTGTACGTCCTGCTGGAATTCCCAACACAAGAGTGGATGCAGGATAAATGACTTGGTTTGGAGATATTTACATATATTTAGATATTTAGGTGGCGACTGTGGCTCAGGGGGTTGGGAAGCACATCTGTAACTGGAAGGTTGCCGGTTCGATCCCCGGGCTCTCTGTCCTGGTCGTTGTGTCCTTTACCCTACTGGTGTTGGCCAGAGGGGCCGATGGCACGATATGGCAGCCTCGCTTCTGTCAGTCTGCCCCAGGGCAGGTGTGACTACAACTGTAGCTGCCTCCACCAGTGTGTGAATGTGAGAGTGAATGAATAGTGGTATTGTAAAGCACTTTGGGTGCCTTGAAAAGCGCTATATAAATCCAATCCATTATTATTACATGTTTCAGCAACTTGTCCTTACAGGTATACCGAATGTAAGGAGTTTATTCTCCATGCAGTTTACCATACCAGTACGCTACTACATTTGTGT